TGAAGAACTACTCAACCATTAGATAGCCAAATAGGGTTATGCATGCAATGTCAGTCTGACTTTCTGTGGAAGGGTACAGAGGAAACATTTGGTCTTGCACGGATAAGGGTTATACTCGGCTGAGGTTCATCCCAGCAAGGGAACAGCTAGTGCGCGGGAAGGTACAAAGCAGGGAATAGAGTTTGGAAGGCAAATGGTTAGCTTTTTATTCTGGAAATACCTGCCCTGGAGGGCAAGTTCTCACTGACAGTGGCAAGATTGTTTTTCTGTTGGGTCTGTGAAAACTTGTGCTGAAGAAGCATTTTGGGATTCCTCCACAATGAGGATACTTATACCTAAATAGAAAGGAAGAGTGGGAGAACCATTGCAAGAAAGGACCTTGGAAAGGCATCCTTATCAAAAGAGAACAGGTTGGCCGTTGTAAGGCCATGGTTTACAAAGAAGTCAACTATTGGTGATACCCCAATAATTCCTCAAATTCCTTTACATACATGCTCCTCAAAGGAGGAGAGGGAATTTTGTGCAAGGGGCACCATCTGTGAGTGTGAGTGACAGCCAGGGACCAGCAGTGCTGGCGGCAGGAGGACAGATGTGCCATGTGTGGTGCAGCAGGGCTGTGATCGAACGCACACTGACGGCTGCTTACCATGGCCAGGAACTGCCAAGCACTGCCAAGGTCCTGCTCTTGAGCCTTCCTCAAGGCTCTGCCATTGCAGAAACCTCAACCAACACAGTTTTGCAGCCCACCTGGTCCACAGCCCTGGGTCCTGCCTGGCTAAACGCTGAGGCATGGAGAGTAAGCGGGGACTGTTTCTGCACCATGCTGTTAAGTGTTTACCCCTGGCCTTGAGAAATTTCTCCCATACCACAGCACAGAAAGACCACACTGGTTTTCCTACCGCAAGGACTCATTCCAGTCATGGAGGTGAGGAGATGCCCCACATACGCTCATGAAGTCCAAAATGTTTAACAACTGCTTAACAACTCTGATGAACAGCACTTTCTAAATTCAGCCACATCTTCCTATAGGAAAAGAAGGTCTCACAACTTTGATTTAGAAAAAAAAAAAAAAAAAGACAGTCACAGGGGTCTGGGAGGGTGATTTAAGTTTGTACTATGGGTGCCCTGCTCATGAGACAGCCAGTTGCTGAGTGCCCCTGAGATGAGCTCAGTTTGCAGACTTGTGTGCAAACTTCAGGCAAAAGCTTTTGCTTTTGGCAGGATAACACCAGCATGCTCCCCCCTGCTGCTCCATTTTCACTTTTGGACAATATTCTTCCATTTCAGTGATGGTAATTCCCATATGTTGTCCTGCATTTATTAGGCCACCTTTGCAAACAGTCATATCTGTGAGGCAGTATCTGTGTGATGGCCTCTGTCCTTCCTCTCAGCATTCAGCACGAAGAAGGCTGAAAAGGCTGCCCATTTGCCCTCTTTCAGAAGGAATAACTGCTTTCGTTCTGTAGGCTTTGAGGATCAGTAAAAAAAAAAATAAAATAAAAAAAGGAGATAAAAATCAATTACATTTGAAAATGTTTCAAATGGAAAGAAAAAAGCTGGTGTATCACAAACATGTTAGCACTTTGTTTCTGATCAAAATTGTTAGCGAGGCCAAACTGTTCTGTCTGACAATGACCTGCTACAGCCCAGCCTAAGGACATAACTGCTAGCTTAACACCAACTGCGTCTGAGGGCTCCAAGGTAAAGTTCAGCACAAGTTTATATTTATCTGGCTAGAGCTACAGGAACTCAACATGGGGGGGAAGTATGCTTTGCCAAATGGTAGTATTAAAGCATTTGGAAAAAAAGAAAATATCCCTCGAGTGATGGCATCTTACTGAACAGCGGGCATGCCAGCTTGGAATATTAAAGCAGCATATATTTGCATTTAAAGAAACCATTACCAACGTTTTTTTACTGGGGATAAAATTTAGCATGTCATTTTAATTGATTTAGGCAGTGATCAAAGCAAATTAATTAACTGTGAAATTCAAGGGTCAAAAATTTATAGTGAACAATATAAAGGGATAAGGAAGAATAATCATAAGCAGCAAGAAACACAGACTTCTGAGTTATTGTTTTTTAATATATGTGTCACGTTAATATATGTGCTTAATATATGTTTAATTCATTGTGTCTATAGTCTTATAAAAATCTGGGTGTGTCACAGATAGATGAGAGATGCTAGGCATGAGTCAAGACACTGTTTCCAAGTTTCTGCCCCCTGGGCAACTGCTGTCCCCAAAACCAAGCATGCATCTTGCATTGCTGTATTTATGTTGTATGTTACCAGCTGCTGTCACTTCTGCAATAAAATAACTTGAGAGACAGATGAGGAAAATGGCTTAAAATTGAGTATGATAGATGAAAAATTTCCAGAGAGGTAGGATTTATCAACCCCTTTCTGCTGGGCAGGGGAGGAGAGACCTTTCTTGCTCTCAGCAACAAAGCATGAGAAATGCACGCTTCAGACAGCTACAGCAATATTGCACACAGAAAGCAGAAAACAAGGGAGGAAAGGCTGAATTGCCCCCGCGTGTAGAAAATGCTCTCTCTGAAATGCTAAGGACAAGATCTTCTCCCGCTGCTGAAGTTACTTCAGCCAGGACTCCAGGGTGGGCTGTGGAGGACTGGCAGCTGAAACACCCATCTGGGAGAAAATACTCTTGGTTTCGTGGGTCATCTGCAATCCCTGGTTGACACCAGCATGTCAAGCCTGCCACCAAAGGCCATACAGCCCATACAACCTCTCTTGCTGCAACTCGGCTAGCAAGCAGCCTCCTCTCTTTCCCATGGCATGAAAACACCACCAAGGAAGGGGCTCCCTAGGGCCCAGAGGCTGATGGATGAACTTGCAGCCACTGCCCAGAGGCTGTGCGGAGGTCCTGGGGAGCAGCCAGCCCCATCCACCCGGCGTACACAAGATATCCGCACCATGGATGGGGCTGAGGGCAGGGCGGTCACTGGGATTTCATTCACTGCCTTCTTTCAATGCTCTCCACAGAGCCCGTGTATTCCCAGTAATTAATTTTTTGCAAACAGATCTATTTCTCATAATAAGCAAACACAGGAACCAACTCTAATGCTCTCTCATTTATCACCCTTGTTAGCCAGCTCTTTCCCAGGAGAGCGGATATTTACAAAACCCTCCAAGTTTCCCTTCTAACTCATTTTCATCATCCTTTTACCAGGAGTACACATGCCAAGGTACCAAAATGCTGCAAAGCTTGTTAAAGAGCACTGGCAAAACTGGGATTTCTTCCACAACTCCCACCTTTCATCCTGCAGAGGCTGTAGGGGAAGTCTTTATGATTGCATGGGACAGCCAAACCAAACAATATGCACTCTGCATGCAAAATAGGGACCTTCCCTGCAAGCCCAGATCTAAAACACATGAAGCCTGACTTGGTCCTTTCTCCTCCCAGGGCAATTACTCTGACTTCTGCTCATTTTACACCACTTGTTTCTTTTGGACTTGGACTCTGTGTGGTCTGGAGGAAATATTTTGACTTACTTTTTCTAGCTTGCCTCTCTAAAACACAGTCAGTGTCCACGAGCAACACTTCCTTGTCCTCACAGTTTTATCTGTCAGCCTCCCACCCCAAATGCCACTGTGCCCATGGGTTGCCCAAGATTTGTTTTCAGGGGCCCCCTCCTGGGTCAGCTTCCCCATTGGTACAACATAGCTGCACGCAGCACCCTGCAAACCCCATCCCACCCTGTTTTATTTGGGTTTATTTGCTAGAAGGTTGGGGTTGTGTGGTTTGGTTTTTTGGAGTTGTTGGGTTTTTTAGTTGAGGGGTTTTTTTGCATTTTATTTTCTGCCAATGAAGAGGAGCAGGGGAAATGGTGAGAAATGAGTGGAAGAGGAAGAACTAGTGCTCAAACTGTGCCTTCTGCTATTGCTTGTCTATAGGTTGTTTCTTCAGGGCTCAGTTCTGACTGCAGCAGAAACAACTCACATTTCAGTAGATTCTACCTATTTCCAAAAAGAAAGGCTAAAAGGAGGGCATCGTCTTCCCCAGGACCTAGCCTGCTTCCCAGATGCTTGCTTTACAGCCTGTGGTCTCAAAAGAAGGAAATGGGTCCCAGCCACAAGGTCTACCTTTGGCTGGCAGCCTGCTCTTACCAGGAATGCAGAAGCACTCCCACCCGAGTTTGGTTCTGCCTCGCCTCCTGGGAAGCAGTTCACATTTTCACTGAGAGGGAAAGAAGAAGTGTTTTTATTTTATGAAACCCCAAAGGGTTTCTTTTTTCCAGCCAGAATTGGTTGGCTCCTACCTTGTCAAAGAGCAGGCTGGCCACAGTAATGTCCATGAGGGACATGGTTTTTACAAAGTCAATGAAAGACCTGATAGAGGTGACATGCACGAGCGTAAGTGCTTGTGGTGATGAAGCTTATTTTGGTAAGATAAAATGACATTAGCATAAGTATGTATATTTTTGCTGATGTAAGATGACTCCCAGCAAAATCCTGCTACTGGAGGTTAAGCTAAAATCTGTAGCCACAAGGTCTCTAATAATCGAGAGCAGAAAAGTGATGGGGAGCAGAAGAGGCTCTCTGAAATGCAGAAGGAAGGGTACAAGCTCCTTCCAACACAGACTGTTTAAGAGACTGACAGCAGCAGGACTCCAGTGCTGAAGTCTGGCCCCAACAAAATCAATGAAAGTATTGCCATTTAACTGAACAGGCCAGCTGGCTTAAAACAATCTAGAGACAAGCTGAGAATAATCTCCTGCAAACCTGCTTGCTCCCGGGGCCAGAAGGGGAGCTTGGTAGGCAGTGCCTAAACCCCCTCACCCTATTTCAGCCCTTTTCGCTCACTAAAGGCATGTCCCTGTATCACAGAACCTGGTGCAAAAGTCCTCCACCATGTGAGCTGATAAACTTTTTTACTAAAAAAATATCCAGTCATCCTAAACCAGCTGTCTTGGATACCTGTACCCACTGTCAGCATTTTGGAGAGGTGCTGCAGCCAATGTTAGAGTATCTGCTGTTGATGTGACTTAAACTACAAGGCGTATTACAGCAGCCTTAGATACTGCCCAGTTTCCAGCTACCTATGGTAAGCCTACACTTCTGATGCACCGTATTATTTTGCCTCTTGAGTTGAAGGAGTCCCCAGTGTTGCTACCCTCATACTAAGGGTAAAGGAGAACCTCTTGCTGGGCAGCAAACAGGCAGTAGGAGAGCCTATGCATGCACATCTACCTGCACTTCCAGCCCTGGCCCAGGCTCTGCTCTGTGGGCCACTGGTGGCAATTAGGGTCTCACTGGACCCCACTACGAGTGACGTGGTTGCACAGGTGTGCTGGTGATCGAGGAGCTGCGAGTACCCCTTCCACTCTTCCTCACCAACATCAGGGGGCTGCTCCTGAAACCGCCCACCAGCGGGGCAGCCCACCTCGCTCAAGCCCCTCGGGAGCCCCTGCAACGGAGCCACCCTCGCCCAGGTTAGATGCCCTCCTTCTCCAGCTCCGCACCGAGAACATTGGACCGCATGCAAACAGAGCAATATTTTTAATTCATAATTAGAGCCAAGTCTCCTAGAATAATCACAGAGTGCTAATGACTCCAGGCAGGTTGGCAAAAAAATTAATTTGGGCTAATTTGTCAGAGACCAGGGAAGTGTGTAATATCACACACGTACCATTTACTCAGCTTGCAGTGTCTCCATTATGCAGATAGTTTGCAAGGCCTCTGAAGCAGGGGCTCTTCCTTCCTTGAGACACACGATCTCACTAGAGCAACATCACAGAAACATAACAAAATAAACTATTGACTTAACAAGCAGCTACATGTTGATATTTGTGACCTTAAAGGCAATTAAAACCTGAGCATTATACTGCCCTATAAGGGCAAGTAACTCTATATTTATTTTACTCCCTTCGCCAGTACAAATATGATACTAATTCTGGGAAAATGGGCATCCCAAAGTCTAAATGAATAAACGAATTACCTGAAAATCAATAGAGTTGAACAAAACAGTCATTAGTATTAAAGTCTTGTTCAAACACTTGGCAGGGGACTGAGCCAACATTTGCAGGCTCATATAACTGAAGTGATCAATCAAATTACAAACCAAAGAAGCAAATGTGAGGTAAACTGCATTTTATGCATCTGCATCTCTGACTGTATATTAATTTTTTTCACCCATAATTCATCTTTACTCAGTCTGACTTGTCACAGAGTTACTGTGGGCAATTTATCAACCACTTGAGCATGAACTCTAAGCACTGCTTTTCTCCTCCCATCTCCCCCAGCCTCCTCAAGCTGTCTCAGGGCACCAGCCGAGCCAAAAAGGAGGGCACAGTCGGGGTAGGAAAATCGTTTTTTTGGTAGAGTTCCCTTATTCCTGGTGAGAAAAAAATACACCTTGGCAGAAAGGGATTTAACTACCACTTGGAAGAGAGAAGGTTTGTTTGAGCCACTCGCTCAGAGTGACAGTCTCCAGGCTATGCAAATGAGAGTCCAAATTTTGTTTAAAAAACAAAACAAAAAACCCCCCATCTTCGGTAGTTTTCCTTGCAGAAAGTGCAGTTGCTGGAGCTGTCACTGGGGGTGGAAGGAGTCAACAGCTTGATCCCACACCTGCTCTGAGAGACAGGAAGAGCTAACCAAAGATTTGACAGCAACCCCATGAGTGGCATCCTGTCCCCTCTGGTTGACAGGCCAAGTATTTCACCACAGATCTAATTTCTGCACAGGAGCCACTTTGGTTTAAACAGCCCCTCTCTCCAGACTCGTTTGACTAGCTCACTGTGCAGCCATGGAGATTTCTCCCTGCTCTTTACGTGCAGTTCGTTGCCAGCGTCCTCTTTCACTCCGAGAGGCACCTTGCACTTCTGCCACCAGCAGAAGTCAGGGTGCAGGGTGGTCTCTACTTCTCTTTATTCCTGCATACAAGCAAGTCCATGTGAAAATCTAACTCTCAGGCTGGCAGCGCAGTGCATGTGCAGCCACCATTGCTACAGCTCCTGCTGTACTCCTGGGCGACCTGCTACACTGGGGGAGCTTGCCAGGCTTTGCTGTACTCTCACCTTTACCTTCAGGACTCCTAATTTAAAAAAAAAAAAAAAAAAAAAAAAAAAAGGCCCCACAGTCACTGACAGCGTCTCTGCTGCTGTTACAAGTGCAGGAGAGGGAAAAAACATGCAATTACCAGCACAGAAAGTGCTCGAGCTCACAAATGTTTGCGGGGTGAGTAAAGGCCTGTCAATTATTAAGGGAGAGCTTGCAACAGGGTAGCTCTGATGTACCTTGGGGAAGGGTGGAAGGACCCATGAACTGTTTTGCCAGTTCAGGCGCAAGATTTCTGAAGGAACCCATTTGATGAAGTTTGGGCAACATCCTGGCTGAGTCAAGTTAGTGTGGGCCCTCTCTGATGCCTGCACTCATCGTCTTCCGCCCCTGCCTGGTTTCACACCCATATATCTCTATGTTGGCATAGCATGAAGCATAGTAGTCACATGGGACACACAGCTGCTATAAAACAAATGTTACGGCCATTCTTGGAAGGCAAGTATTTCTCCAGGTCTAATACTGGCAGAACTAAATCCACCCTGGAGATGAACCACAGCTCACCAAAGCCCATAAAAAGGCTCTGACTGATTTCAATGGCTGTTGGATAAGGCCCTGTGTAAAACATCTTATGCAAACCTTTAGAAATCAAACATGTCTTTACCCATCCAGATGCAGGGAAAAAGATTTACAAAAATAGATGCCTAAGTGAATCACTTGCTTTTTGACACTGCCAACCAACCACCATTACTCACAGGTTTTAGTGTGACCGGGGCTGCATGATGACTGGAAAAAAAAAAAACAAAAAACACAACTAAAAAAATCCCAAAACAAACTGTATCTGTTTAGACACCTATGCAGATATGTATGTATCCGAGTACCAAAGGTCTATGACATGCAATTAAGTTACCGTGGTGTAGGAAATAACTGTACATCAAAAAAGCGGTGGTAACTAAATATGTTTCCAGCCTGCGGCAAAGGATTATGCACGTTAGCTTAAACCTCTTGCACTTGCAGACTAATCCAAGCCAAATAGCCCTGCATTTGCAGCAGGTAACTAGTGCCTACACAGGCTGCCACAGCAGAGCAGGCAATGCAGGGATATCTTGTCATGTCATGGTAACACGGTGGTATAGATGAACCTCAGCTGAGTATCTGGTTTGGGGTCATTGTACTGCTTAACAATAAAGTCTGGAGAAAATGAGATTTTATTTTCCCTGCTCTTCTTCTCTGACCTAGACTGGTACAAGAGACTTTGGCCCTCTAATTCCCACTCTCTGACAACCATGTTGTGGACGCTCCACACACCTGAAGTGTGTTTTGTACCTAAAGTATGTTATGTACCTTTTGTTCAAACAGACATTTTCTAAAAGTGTCCATGCTCAGAATGTTCATGTTTATTTCCCAGACAATGCACGTGCACTGGAAGCCTCCGTACAATTCAGTTCCAGTTTAAAAGACCTTCCACCATCTGTAGCTTTGAAAAAAGTGGAAAACCAACTCACCTTTGGAGGAGGGTAGAGATGACAAAGCGGTTGTCCTGGATCCTGTTTACATAGCTTCAAGGAATGGCAGACCACATCGGCATTCATTTCCCTGTCTATGCTGAAGGAAATGGTGTGAAAACAAAGACTATTATGTTCTTCTGGGTGCTTGAAAGTAGAAGCTGTTTCCATGGGAAGCTAAATCTCCCCAACGCCAAACAATAACCTCAGCTCGCTTCACTGCGGCCTGTAATAGCTGCTCAGTACAGTGTTGGGTCCCAACGATTTTCTGCCACGGCATCCTACTCAGCATTTAAAATTGGATCCCAGGATGATGAAAAAGCACCGCGCTTTATATGCAGCACCTGAATCAAATGCATTATGACTGTTCTGTTTTTTAATCAGTCATAAGTCTGACAAAGATTTAAAGGTTAAAGTTAATGCATATGCAATTTGGCACAAATGAACGTTCAATCATTAACTCAAGAAAATAACCAGAAATCCTTCAAAGATCCTTAACCTTTAATCACCAAGCACGAGTGCTAGGATTGTTTCTTTCTTTTTGGGACACACCCCTGGGCTAACCAGGAATTAAATTAAAATGTTTGATTATAGCACTTCTTAGTCCTGTAAGCACTTTGCAGTCCCTTGGCTAGTTTTAAAAATAAAAATAAAAACCCTAGGGAGGAAGAAGGTCTAGCAAAAGCTCTGTTAATTAAACTAAGAAGTTTCAAAGAGGAATAAAATGACCTACATCATATTTTTTTAATCACTTACATTACTTAGTAGGCTTCCCCAAGAGTGTGTATCAAGGTTGGGGCTGAGAGCATGTAGGGGCTGACAATTAGAAAGCTTGATTAAAGGTAGAAGGGAAAGCAAGAGCCAAGTATTACAGTAGTGTGACTCTGTAGAACCTGTCTCGCACACACAAGTTATTCAAATTCCTCCCTCAGCCAAACGAGCTGAATTTCAAAAGGTAATTACATCAGGTGGGCTTGATCTGGGATTCAAATGGAGTATGAAAATGGTTACCAGTGGCAGCCTGTATTTATTCACTCAGGAACAGCTATGCCAAATGCCAAACCAGAATCACTCTCAAGCATCTCTGCTTTAATAATAATGTGATTTTAAGAATGAAACCTCTGCACGTCAATCCGACAGCACATCTGTACATGTCAAGAACAAATTAAGCAAAGATCTGAGAGGACACAGCAATACTTACAGTTCAGCAATGTGTGGTCCGTAAAGTTCAGCAAGTACGTAACAGAAACCTTGCAGTTTCTCTAGAAAACATATTTTTTTTTAAGTATTTGAGCACAGTGAAACTGGTTTTATAACAGTCAAAATACAGCAGAAGTTGGTTCATTAAGGTGAACGCTGATTTATCTTAGGGGAAGGCGTGTGAATCTATGACCTCAGGATAGCACCAGAGAATGGGAAAACCTGTATTTCTAACCTTGCCTGAAGCCCTTCTCTGGCTTTAGACAAGCCACGTGATAAAGACTAAAAAGGATAACTAGCATCTGTTAAACGTTCTGAGTATGGCATCATGGAAAAGTTGAAAGAAATCATACATGTCAGAGCATCCTCTAAGCAGTTTAAAGAAACAGCTTTGTAGGTTTGCAAGAAGAAAGAAAACAAATACATAAATCAAAGCTCAGAAAGTGATGCAGGGCCTGATGCTACTGCTAGAGCTGCCTCGGAGCTTCTCAGGGTTTGTGAGAGTTAAGAGAATATGTTTTGTGTAGAGCAGGAGTTGCGCAGGAGTAATTGCATTCAAACAAATATTTGACACTTTTCATTTGGCTTCCTTTCACAGTCTGCAGCTGTGTGCCTTTTTGGGATGCTGGCTCAGGTGGCTTTGTTTAACCTGGATGGAGCATGCCCTCCAGAAGACAGCTCATCAGAGATTTCTTTAAGGTACTGTTGTAAAAAAAAGTGGTCCCCTCACCCGAGCAAAGATATTTGTGGGAGAGATTAGAGGCTTGAATACAGGTAGGGCAGGATGGTAGCACTGGTCTGATAGTTCCCACAAAGGAAAATTGGCTGTTTCTTGGCCTGAACAGACGAGAACTGGTTTACCACGCACGTATCCTGCAAAGGAGGTGTCAGGCCTTGTTTTGGCAGGGGTGGTGTTGTGAAAAGTCATGAAGAGGCAGGTTCACACAAGTGCAGCAATGACAAGCTTGCAGCTCCTGAAATTCCTGAGAGATACTGTTTTCTCTTGCACCTTAATTACCCAGACAGATACTATTTGTATTTGGGGACGAAAACAGAGAGTATCCTCATCTTTCCCATAGAAAAGCCTTAGAAACCCCCAAAGCAGCCGCTTCCCTCCAGCTTTGGGCTGAATATTCAATTTTAACCAGCCTCAGGCTGGACATGCCCAGGGATGAGGGTCTGCTGCATACAAGGCGGGTAGTTTTGCTCCGGGGAGGGTACGAAGCCTTGCAGCACTGACTCCATCAGCAGGCATGGGTGTGCTCTTGCTCCCGCAGCTGCTCTCCTGCCAGGACTGCAGACATCCCAGCTGGCAACCTGTGCCCAAGAAAGGAGGACTAGGACCTGAAAGGCATAGCAGGGAATGAAAAGATAATTTCCCCAACACCCTCCTGCTCATAAGGTGTTGCAAGCAGCTTCTGTAACTATGATAGCTGATTTTTTTATCCCATGCCAGGTGTTTTATTTCAATCAAGTTATTAGCTTCATTTCTTTGCCTCCTTTGCCACATAACTCCTCTCTATTGGCTCTTTAGAAGCAATCTGCAAGTTAAAAATTGGTCTCCTGGCTAGAATTAGACTTTATTCTTGTTCACCTAAAAGGAAAGACATCGCAGACATCAATAACCCTGCATTTGGTATCATCGCTGATTAAAACACCCTCTGATAAGGCTTGCCTGCAGGGCCCCTGACTCCCTATAGTAGCCTGCAGGAGAAGGTGGCTGGCTTCCCCAACACCTCCCTGGTGCGTTGCAGGCGATGGTCTCGTTATGAGTTTCCCAAACCAGCTGGTTTCCATAATGTTTCTGGCCCTGGAGGAGCCAGCTGGCTGCTGTAACCTGTCCTGGTGGCTGCGAGGAGGGGAGGATTTGGCTAGCCGTCAGCTCTGGGGAGCTGATGTTGGGGGTCTGCTGGTCACACTGATTTCTAGGCGCTGATTTCCTTATGCATACAGGAAGCTTGACGTGTAATTACCCCATGGTGTAACAAATGACGGGTGGTAAAAAGAACAGCAATAACATAAAATTATTGTTGAGCACATAGAGTCCTCTTGGAAGATACAGATGCCATTCAGGCTTTGGCTTCCAGCAAAACAGACCCAAGCCACGGGCAGTGTGTACCGGACTTGCCCTCCGAACCAGCCTGCATTCATGCGTTCACAAACCTCCAGCTCTGCTAACACACAGGAGGAGAGAATATTGCAGAGAGAAAGCTCTGTTAGGAAGAAGCTGTGTAAGTCAGAAAGGAGGGGAAGAGAGAGAGAGAACATGATGAATAACTTTGAGTGTTCAGGGGCAAGAGAAGAGCTTAAACCAAACTAAATGCTGGAACATTTAGAGAAAATGCTTTTGCTCTGCTTCAGGTAAAAGAGATCCCCTAAACTGCCCTGTTCTTACGTGATAAAAATCCGGAAGGTTTTCCTCTATAGCTTCATAGTCCCAGAAACACAAATTCTGGCTGAATCCCAGAGGATAAATATTTGCAGGAAAGATGGTATTAATCGTGTTGCCATTTCCACTTGAGCTCTAAGGTGTTTACACAGCAGTGGCCAACACAGAAGCAGAGCATGACTCAGAGGCAATGTTGGAGGCAGATGGTCTCAAAGCACATTTCGGGTATCAGACACCTCTGTTGCATCAAGCAGACAGCCAGTATCCAGGTAAACACACATTCTTGCTAATAACATCTTTTACTGTAAATACTGCCCATTCCCCCAGACCCAGCCTTTCTGTCTGCTCAAGAGCCTCCTTCACTTATGGTGTTACTGTTCTTATTTTCATAGGTTTATTGGCCATGTCGCTTGAATCACAAACATCATTGCAAATATTTCCATATAAATAAGGATGCGATTGTGTTTTCTACACAGCCTATGGGATTGAGTGGGATTGATGGGTACTGAATTTTTCTCTCTCTTTTTTTTGTTCATTTTTTGTTCCTGAACATCACATAACTTCACTGAAGGCTTGATCCAACCCCAACTCAATTGTAATTGAAATTATAGGAGGCCCTTAAGAAAAAAACACACGAGTTCTTATTCCCTTTTGGCCCTAGGAAAAGCCCCATTGCCATTAATTTGTTGCTGTTCTTCTTGCAATCAATTGCAGGCATGTGTATAACAATGAAATTGTTCCTTCAGGTGAAATGGCATGGCCTGCTTTAGTTGGTTTACTCCTCGTGATCATCCAAAGCTTTTCTATTGTTTCAAGCAGCAAGAGGAAGCTGTTGATTCCT